TCAGTGTACAGTGAACAGTAACTGAACGTTTAATTTCGTTTAATTTATGTGATTGTTAGTGTTGCAAAATGCCAGATACTTATTCAAATTTAGAATAAGAGAATTTTTATGTGTAAATTTGTTTATTTGTTAATATGCTATAACTTGAAAACAAATGAAAATCGGATAAGAACATGAGTTTTTTTACATTATTTTCACATGTATAATATACTCCTAGAGTTTGGTGCATTCCTTCCGACTCACCCTATATATTCACAATAGTTTACTTTAGAGGACGCCGGGAATAATTGAATTTCTGGAATTTAGTGTGTCAAAACCGGTAACTACAGCTATACCTGGATTTAGAAGAGGTTTATCTGGTTTATCCAGATAATCAGTAGTGTTTTAGTTTTCGTATGCTATTTGGATTAAGTTCACTCTGCTTTTTGTAAATAAATAAAAATATTCATACATTTTTGTCCCGTTAATTTGCACTATAATAAGTCAGTAACTCAACATCAAAATACAAATTTGGGGTGAATAAATAAGTGACGGATTTTTTCCAATATTATAATTATTTACATTGTTAGTTGCATAATTAACAAACTATTATTAAAAAACAAAGCTCAAACTTAAAATTTGTATTTTTCAAAAATATCAAAACATTTCAAATGGCCATATTAAAAAACTTTAATAATTTTTGACTTACCGACCTATTCACAAATGGTACAAAATTTTAAGTAGATAATTTTTAATTAATAAATAAAGTTTACTTGAATATTTAGTTACATTTTAATTAATTTGGTAAGAAATTCATCATTGTTTAGTTTATAAAAATCAGTAATAAAGTTGTTAGTTTTTTTCTCAAATACATCGGAATTCATATTTTGCCTTCAACAATTAATAACGCATTTTCTACGAAACGTTCTTCAGAACCAGAATGTAAAATAGTATGGCGTCTTCCCTTTCTTTTATGGGTAGGGCTTTTCATAAACTGCTACCCATAATCGGTGTAGAATTGGTTATATATCTATGGTGTAGAACAGTATTTCCCAAAGTGGTTCAAGTGGACCCCCAGGGGTCCACGGGAGACTCGACGGGGGTCTACGTTGGGCGTAATAAAAAATGAGGTCCACAATCGTAAGCAGGGGTGCATGAAAATTAATTTGGTTTCGATAGTAAAGCAATCTATGTGATGAAGAAATTCTTGTAAAAAACAGTCAACATTTTAATTAAGAAAATGTGGACTTGACTTCTCTTATCAGTATAGGCAGATAATATTTTAAGAAGCTCAGCGACTGTTACTTGTAAAAACTTGCATATTCCATATTGAGTACAACGCATCGACACTTGTCGTTGCCGCGCCGGCCGCCGTCCCGTCCGCAACGCTTGTTCAGACGTGCAAATTAATACGACTTGTGGTGTATGTGCTTGCAATCTTGCATGAACGTGTTTGATTCTTCACCAATATAAATACGAATGTGAAGGATAATCATTACTCATTTGTTTCTGGAATTTCATTAAGAAAAGTGAATCGATATTAGTGTTGGCCAGTGACTGAATTTGTTTCCAGACTTTCGAAAAGAAAAGTAAAGTAAATCGATATTAGTGATTGCCAGTGTCGGAAAAGTAAGTACCTACCTGCCTATTTGTTATATGCATATAGTTTTAAGCCGAGAAAGATTGAACTTATAGTCCCTACCTTATTATTATTATTACCTATCTAATTCATTTAATTATTGCGGAGTTTTGATTTAAAAATATTGTTTAAAAGTTTCTATCGAATTTACAAAAATATATTAAAATAAGTTTAGCCGTTTTCATAAAACTCTATTATGGATCTTAGCGATTTATTGCTTTTAATAATTAGAAACAGTTTGCAGCCGGAACTTTGTTTATTTCATAATATTTATAATAATTGATTAATCATATTATATTAAAATAGCCATATCCTGTTAAGTTCAAATTGCCTTAAGATTATTTATTTACACACACATTAACATTAAGGTAATTGATACAAAACATGGCCGAATCTAAGAAGTGTCGTCAGTTCAGTGTTGAATATTTAAAAATTGGTTTTCTTCCATTACAGGCAGACAAACGATTGCCCATATGTCGTTCATACAATAAAGTTTTGAGCAATGAATCTATGAAACTATAAAAGCTGGAAGATCATCTAAGAAGGTGTCATCCTGATAAAATAGGTAAAGATTTGAAATATTTCCAAACATTCAAGGAAAAATATGAGAAGAGACCCACCATGCACAGTATGTTCTCTTCAAAGTCTGAAAGCAACGATGATGGCTTGCGGGCATCTTACAATATCTCATTACTTATCGCAAAATCTGTAAAACCACACACCATTGAACAACAATTAAACTTACCTGCTGTTGAAGAGGTTTTAAAAACTGTTCTGCAGAAATCTTCATTTGACATACTCAAAAGAATTAGTTTGAGTAACAACACTGTACAAAGACGTATTGATGAAATGAGCTCTGATGTTGAAAATTTCTTGTGTGATTGATTATCTACGAACAACTAATTTTTCTATTCAACTGGACGAGTCAACTTTACCTGGCAATGAAGCATTATTATTGGCATATATTCGATTTGTTATGGGCGAAGAAATTCATGAAGAGTTACTATTCGCGAAAACTTTGAAGACGGACACTAAAGGTGAATCAATATTTAATGTTTTAAGTGATTTTTTAAAGAAAAATCGATTCCATTCACAAACGTTATTTCGGTGGCAACAGATGGAGCTCCTGCCATAGTCGGGCGATATCGGTGGTTTATTAGCCATCTTAAAATAATTATACCAGAGGTGATTGCGATTCACTGTGTTATCCACCGACAACATCTAGTAGCGAAAAATTTGAGTGATAGATTGCACCAATCGCTTTAATTTGTGATTAATGCAGTTAACAAAATAAGAAGCAATGCATTGAATACGCGTTTATTTGCACAATTGTGCGATGAAAATGATGAAGACTTCCAACGATTGCTGTTACATACCGAAGTACGCTGGTTGTCGAAAGGTGCATGTTTATCAAGATTTTATTTACTTTTTGACTCAGTTTTAGAGTTTTTGGAAAGTAAAGATCCTGATTTAAAAAAAAAACTTGGTCAATTTTAAAGCAGACATTTGACATATTTGTTCAAAAATTTTAATGACCTCAACTTACAATTACAAGGGGACAGCCTCAATTTAATAAAAACAAAGAGTGTAATTTTAGCTTTTCTTGGTAAATTTAAATTTATGAAGGAAAATATTGGTCGGCGCCAATTTTCACAGTTTTCAAACTTGTCGCAGGTAGAATGCCTTGATGAAGATATTCAGACATACGTTCAACATTTGATTGTCCCGCATGATGATTTTAAATTTAGATTTGAAGATATTCTGTCGATTGAAATACCACCATGGATCATAAATCCGTTTAATGAAACGGAGGATGTGATATTACAAGAGGAGCTACTCGAGCTTAGCACTAATGAGGAGCTGAAAGTGACATTTAAAAGAGGTTATCAAACATTTTGGTTGCTGGCAGACATATCCGAAAAATATCCTGAACTGTGGGGAATTGTGCAAAAGCTTCTGATAGCGTTTTCCTCGTCATATCTCGTCGAAAAAAGTTTTAGTGCCGTTACAAACTTATTAACAAAAAAAAAGGAGCAGATTAAATATCACAGAAAGGGGAGGGTATTGATAATTTGCTGTCAATCCATCAAGTACATCCCTCTCATTAAAATTATATTTTTTTTGTAATTACCATTGTAGAAATTACATTACGTTATAAGTGTTTAATTTTAATTATATTACGACGGTTATACCAATAATAATTATTAATGTAATAATTTATATATTTAAATTTAAATAAATACCTACATCACAAGGAAATATAATATATTTCTTTTTACCACTCCGAATGGGACGTTTTCTAAATAAAATTTGTGAGAATTGATTGGTTCTTGTGCTGTGAGTCACTGTAGATTTCAAAAAAGTAAAGTTGGATGGAGTCACTTTTTCGTTTGGCCAACTTTGCTTTTTTGACATCCACTCACAGCACAACCAATTAAAATTGAATTGAAAATTTGTTTAGTCGACTTTATTATCAAATAATTAACCCTATCAAGCAATTAATTCTAACCTTTTTTTTTTCGAAAACTGTTAATTCGTCATTAAAACTCAGCCATAACGCAAGTTTTCATAGATAGATCTAATCTTCACTTTTTTTTTTTCGAGATTTAGAAATTGGTAGTGATGTAGCTCCAGGAAAATTTTGAAAGTGGTCTATGAAACAAAAGAGTTTGGGAACCTCTGGTGTAGAAGGACTCACAATCGTAGATTCAATACAGTAGTTGTGAATTTTAAACGATTTGTAGTTTATCTATAATAACTAAGTTATGCTACTAACAATACAAATGGGAGCAACATAAGTTGCATATAGAGAGAATTTAAATCAAATTAATTGACTGGTAATTCATATTTTCTTGTATTCTTGTGTTCATTCAAATAATGTAAATAATAAAAAATGCTGCATTCCTTTCAAAACAATTTTCTTCAAACATTTGTTTACAATATTTAATTAAAAGACCAACAAATTAATGGTCTTTTATTTTATAAATTATTTAGTCAAAATTATAGACAATAAGTTACATAAATAGCTATTAATGAGTCATTAATTATTAATATTTTACCTTTTTTATGCATTAGGGAGTGACTTATTAAGAATTTTTTTAGCAGTGCAAAAATTACAAATCATTTATTCTGCATGCATGTGAGACAGAAATTAAAAACAAAATTTTGTTCATACATGACCATCCATGCAAAGGAGTGATGTAAATCATAAGTATAATAATATTTTAATTTAATAGTTAAATATGACCCCATTAAGCTATGGACTTTTAAGGAACCCTCACGTCTAAAGGGAAATGAAACTTTTTAATTTGTTATTCAATTTCTATAATTAAAATCATGACGGTTTAAATAATATCTAAATTATGCGAGTAGAACAACTTACTTGTTGAATAAAACGATATCGGGCAACCAAATATGTTCGGAAGGTACATAAAGCATTTCCACCCCTCCATATTCCTCTGGGTCCCATCTTAATTTGTAATCGTACCATTTCTAAAAATATACTTTAACAAGAAACTTTGTCGAGTGGCTACGAGAAGAAGATTACATTTATAAATATTTTTCGATTGAATACTTACTTGAACAACCCACAAATTGGTGGTCATAATTTGATTTTTCAAGTTCATTTCTATGAGCTGCGATAATTTGAGGCTAAGCCAGACAGTGAGCGTTTCTGTGTGATTTATGACGGGTCTGATGAGCCTGTTGTAGTTGCTGAGCAAATCATCGTAGAGCCTTTTTGCGTCAGGGTTCGCCTCGATGTGCTTAATCGCTACAAAAAGAGAACAATAGTAATTATTCATAGTAGTTTAGTAATGAATGACAGTAGAACAAAAAGTTGGATGTAAGCGAAAAAGATATGTTTATAATAAAAATGATTCCATTGATATGTCTTCAAGACCACATTTATTGTAAATGAAACATTTAACATTGAGTTTTTCAGAAAACTTAAGAGATTCAAAACGGCTTATAGAGGCCTGAGAAGTCAACAATGATCAAAATTCAAGAATTAGGTTAAACATGTAGCTAAAGAAAAAAAGATAAAAAGTGAAAAATAAAGGAAAAAATGAAGAAAGGAGAAAGGTTAGATGGACAGGATAGAGCAGGTAAGTTGGAGGAGAAGTAAAAGAATTATTATTTAAAAAACATTATTAAATGGGTTAGAAAAGGTTGCTGAAATAGGCAAAAGTATTAGAAAACCCAAAACTAGAAACAGAACTGGTAAAAGATAACAGAATTAAACGAGAAATAAAGAAAATGAAGCAAAAAACAAAGAAAAAGAAAAAAAAAGAAACAAAAAAAAGAAAGACAAAAAAAAATTAATGAAACAAATTAAAAATTATTTTTTGCCCTAATCAATAACAACAAAAACAACTACTAAAATAATTTTATTTACACAAATCGAATTGAAAGAATTCACGGTGTTATCCACGTAGTTGCCAAATTATTATGGGATAGTCTGGTTACAAGGATTGTTTATAGTTATAATTTGGAATTGACTTAACTGCCATTCGTCCGGGTACACCGGGACATGTCCCCGGTTTAAAACTTCTGGACTTCTGTCCCGGTTATCCCGGTTGATCTACTACTAAATATCCCGCTAAATAAAAAATTGGCAAATATTGTTTCAACGCGCAATAAAACCATTCAGTGTAGGTACTTCTCGTGAAACTAAACTAGACTAGACCAAATATTGCACTCAGGTAGGGTTGTCAGACGTCGCTTAAGGCGTAAATCCCATGCTATACAAGCAAGCTCGCTAAAAGGACCCTGATTTACGAAAAATACAAGCTGATGCTTCTTAGAAATTTTACAGAGAAAGGAAATGATTTTATAAAAATTCTTGGTTTTTGAACCTGATCCCCTGTGGTCACCGTTGTCCCGCTGTTTCCTTTCGCAAATTTGGCAATCCTACTCTAAGGGGTCCATTCTGTACAATTTTAGTTTTATTTTAATTAGCCAAGGTTAATTTTAACCAAATTTTTACAGAATAGACTCCTGAAACGAACAAATTGGCTTTCAAAATTACATTAAGTTGATTTGTATTCTTAATACCCGTTATTATCTGTTTTATGTATTTTTCTGGTTGCAACTGTTATAGTAGATGATTATGATTTACAGAAACGTACACCATTTATTTTACAGTGTGGCAACGGTGTAAAGCAGGATTCATAATTGTCCGTACTGGTTCATTCAAAAAACGCGTGCTCGTATCTTAAATAAATCTTATAATTTAAGTCACATTTATCTCATCCTATATTACGTGTATGAATTATAATGTAATTTAGAACATATACATCTTCAAAACTCTCCTCAAGAAAGGACATCTTGTTTCGATAACGCGGAGTTAGAGAACAATTAAATAAAATTCTTCTGTTAATTAAGTATAATTAATTTTATTCAGTGACATTTACTTAACTCTGCTGCTGATGATAATGATGATGCTAATTTTGCTAATGAAACTCACGTGCTTTTTAAAAGTGTAGTTTTACTAAAATGATGCAATTGTTCTCAAGACATTGCCTAAAATTCATTAAATCTTTTAAAAATTTCCATATTTATCTTAAAACATTTAGATTTCAGGTCCCACTTTTGTAAATTTTTCAGGAAATACCAACAATAAAAAACTTAGGATGGAGAAACCTTAAATTTTTTGTAAATCTACGAAAAGTATTTATTTTGAAAACTTTTAAAAGATATTTCGAAAAAAAAAAATATTTACGCGCCATACTGTATTAAATCTATGAAAATTTGCTGCTTTTTATTTTAATAAATATCTATTCGTTTTTAAATCGGATAATTTTCCACCTTTTTTCTTAAACGTCTTTGTAGAGTGTTGGCTGATCACTGCACAAATTTAAAGCTCTTAATATTGCCAAGACTCATAACATCACGAAGTATTCCTAGTGGTACGCATATAAATACAATTTTATATTAGAAAATCTTTAAAACATTTTCGCTTTCGCGAGAGGTTCGGTTTGCTTTTAATCGTAAAATATTCCAGAAAAGTGCATTTTTGGATTTTAGGGCTTCAATAGCAAAACTAAATAAATGATTGTGTGTTTCATAAAGGGGGGAATGTCATACATATTGCACGGTCTCATAAAAATACTTATATAACAAATATTTCTTTTGTTAGAAATAGTTTGGATTAGTTCGAAATTAAGGATGTGATTTTATATATTGTTTTTATGCAATTTTGGAAAAATGAAAATGAATAATTCCAAATTCTCCCTACAATATTATGAAGAATATCCCCAGTGTAAATATTCCAAAGAAAAATTGAAAAAACTTTTTCAATTGTATAAAACAAAGAAAATAAAAAAGAAAGTCAAGAGTTGAAACAATGAAGAAGAAATAATTAAGAAAATTGAAAAAGGTTAGAAATAAATATTAAAAGGAAAGAAGAAAGAAATAAATTAGGAGAATGAAAAAAATTGATGTAAAAAGGCAAAAGAATGAAAAGGATCAAATAAACAACAAAGAAATAAAGACGTAAAGATACAAGAAATTAAAATAAAGATAAAACTAAAAATTTAAGATAAAGAATTTAATGAAAAAAGATTTCAAAAAAGTAATAATAAACAAAGTAAAAGAAAACCTAAAATGGAAGAATTAAAAAAAAATGAGAAAGATTTTAAAGGAAAGTAAAAAATAAATTAAAGAGAAAACCAAGATAAACTGAGGAAAATAAAATAAAAATAAATAAAAAGAATTCAAGAAGGAAGCAAGAAAGACGATAGAGAAAAACAGGAAACAAGATGAAGGAAGGAAAGAGAAATATAAAAGTCTAAAATATTAAGTAATATTAATAAATAAAATTTTAGAAGAAGTCAGGGGTTGGAAAATTGTTTTGTTTGAAGATGTATACAGAATTTAGATAAAGAAAAATATAAAAAAGGTATATAGAAAAATGTATTTAAAAGAAGGTAATATAAAAAACAGGTAAAAAATAGACATTAAGACAGACGCAGAGGCAGACGTAAAGATAGACATAGAGAAAGATGCTGATGTAGAACGGAACAGCATAAGATATCTGAAGGCAGAAGAAAAAAATCACCTTTGGCCTGATGTATGGTATCTAAGTTGCAAAGGTGATAATAGACAGCAGACAGAAGAAACGACAGATACAAATTATTCAAATGTAGGAATGTAGACTTTCACGGCTGGCGTCAATGTAATTGTTATTGGTTATTACTATCAAACGTTTCAGCTGCAACTGCGGCAGCCATCTTCAGTGGACATAGTACTCTTCTCGGCATATCAACAGCTTTGACATTATCTCTTTATTCGCAAATGTGCCACTCGAAGAACACTCGCTGACAACATCATATTTTCAGTGGAATCAAACATTCTATGAAAAAATTGGCGGTGTCGCCATGGGTAGCCTATTTTTTACATGAAAAAAATTAAAGAGAGCTATTCGCACTGCTGAAAAACAACCGAAGCATTGGCTGAGGTATGTTGATGACACATTTGTAATCTGGAGCCACGGAAGAAAAGCTTCTGGAATTTCCTAAGCCATCTTAGCAGTTTTCACCATGGAATAGAAGATAACCCACAAATTACTTTCCTAGATGTGTTAGTGAGCCGAGAAGACAATAAACGCCACAAAATATATAGAAAAAAGACACACACTGATCGAAACCTAAAATTTGAATCCAACCATCATCCAAAACAAAATCGCATGGTTATCAACACCTTAGTAAACAGAACGTTAAGATTATGTGAACCAAAACACATCAACAATTAAGTGAAACACCTGACAACAGTGTTACAAGCAAACGGATTCAACAAATAGACATTATCCGTGCTACGCGACCAAGTGATAATAAGAACAAGACTAGTGAAATACAAAACCAAGGAACTCTTTACCGTACGTAGAAGGTATCACTGATCGAATTGGGAAAATCCCAAAGAAAAAGAAAATCAGTACTGCCTACAATCCAACAAAGAAAATAAGGGAATATCTCAAAACAGCGAAGCACTGTAGAGTCTACAAAATTCCATACACTTGTGGAAAAGTATAAATAGGACAAAAAGAGAATAGAACGCATTGGCATACGAATAAGAGAATAAAAATGAAGTTTAGGACAAACCGAAAAGTCTGCAGTCACCAAACACACATTATCCGATGGAGAACACAAGATACTTTTCGAAACATCGACCTACTAGCAATATCAAGACATTATTCGACTCGAGTTGGAGGCTATAGAAATAAACATCAAAAGTACTTCAATCAAAAGGAAGAAAAAATAACATTACCTAAACCTGGCACACGTCATTAAAAAGCACGAAAATAAAACCGCCTAACACCAGTCAAGCCAAAAAATAAGAACAGACACGCATATAAATACCACACTCGGAGCGAAGGAGGATTCAGTTTCAGTTGATACGTCGAGAAGAGTACTTTGTCCACGCCATTGAAGATGGCTGCCTCAGTTGCAGCTGAAACGTTTGGTAGAAATAACCACGTCATAACAACCCGAAAACAAACAATTATTACGATTTATTCAGAGTTTTATTTTAGAAAATTTATTTAGAAATTTAATATTTTTTGTTTTGTAAAATCATTTTGTATTTAATATTTTATAAACAACCCTTTGAGAGTCTCGGACAAGTTTTTGAAAATGTTATGTTACGTTTGGTATGGGGTATGAATACATTGCGACCTAAAAGATCTAGTGTGCCCTCTTCTGTCACTAATGCAGCAAGGAAATAGTCTTGATGCCACTAACCACCTTTCCAATCCTATCTCCTCAAGAAGTATAG